AGAGGGTAGAAACTGTCTTCCCTAGCAGCAGAAGAATCCACTGGTTTCCGGTACACGCGAAAGTCTCATTAACTTTCGCCACCCGATATACGTCCCGTTTTAAAATGGATCTACTGTTCATCGACCAGAAACAGAGTCAGAATAGTAACCGACCAAAGAATACATTTGTACACAATAAAGGCTGATGTGATTGCAATAAAAGATGATATAAGTTTAATGTTTCGTAAGTATTAATAGATTAATGGTTGATATTGCCAGATAAGCTTTTTGAATTCAAGGTCCGTTGTACCATTTATAATTGATTGCATACCGCATCCGGTTTTGGTTTTTGTTTCCAACGTAATTTAATTCATGGATTTATTCTCGATATAAATTATCGATTAAAATTATGCTAATGTGTACGTAATGGGTTAACATCATATATATCAATGATCAAGCGTGCGTTGCTTTAATTTACAACGTTATGACGGAACATCCTACGCACGCCGCGATGAGAAACGTCGACGATTCCACGGCGGATGAGCAGCTAGCGAAGCATCGTGACGTCGGTGGACTATCATCGTATCAATGCGGCGGAGATTGACAGTCCTGCTCGTGATAAATGATATTTCCAACGTCCTACTCCCCCTGTACCCGCTCTCTTCTTCCTCCCTCGTACCACTGCGGATCCATCCCCGCTGAGTTCGGCTCGGCACGAGGGTGCCCCGACCGAGCAGACTGAGGAGGGAAGATATTCGCGGCGAGAAGTAAACACGTTACGCAAACAAACGTTGAATCGATAATCCCTCTCTTCTTGAACGTACACTTCATACGTAAAATTTTTTAATATATTATATCTGATATACGCGCGCGAGGATACTTCTTTATCGAAACGCAATGACTCTTGATTAATCAACTCTTTCGAATTCTTCGGTATAAAAACGGCCCCTTGTGTGAACACTAAATAATAGGTACACGCGACAGTGTGAAATCTGAAAATTTAAACGCTCCAAATTTGTCAATGCTTACTTTATGGAGCATGACGACTCCCGTTTCTTATGAGAAATGTGTCAGAAATATTCTCGAGTCGTAAACTCGTGCGCACGATGATACCTGAGGCCTTTCTGCCTCTAATTTAAATGTGAGACTATAAAACTATTTTCCCAGCAAATAACATCAGCATGTTTTGCGATGTCTATATTAAAAAAGAAAGTGATCGCGCTTTATGAAGCGCTAGTACTTTATGGAAAGTTCCGAATCAAAATGCAGACAATTCACTATCTCATAAAACATCCGTGGTATGTGGTGTTGATTTTCAACTTCGTGTAAACTGAGGTAATTATAAGCAATTTTTGTGAAAAGAAAAATTTTATTAAGCTTCTACATACGCGTGTACAATATAGCAGTAGAATTGTTTTCTTTGTCGAAATACTTTGTACATCGCTTTGACAAAATAATTTAACAGGGTAGTTTTCTGGATATAATGGGAAACTATGCGTGAATAGCGTAGGAAACACCATAAAGCTAGGTTTCTTTTTAAATTTTTCGGTGCCCTTTGCATTTCATGCCGTCAAAGATTGGGCAACTGAAAGTTTCATTCAAAAAGACACGTTCTGACCCAAAGTGTCTCAGCATGATCAAACGTGTGTTCCGACATTTTGATAGTTAGAAATAAGGTTTAGTACAAAAGATACATGCATAATGCAAATTTATCATTTTTCCATTAAATCTAATATTTCTAATTGCAAATTTTTTCCCTTAATGGAAAAATAATTTCGATATATTAAATATTTTATTGAAATTAAATACATTTGTCTTAAAACTTTAATAAAATATTTAGATATCAAAATGAATATTATTATTTTATATCGATATATAAAACCATAGATGACATAATTTGTCGCACAGAATGGCACACCGCAAATAAAATATAAATTAATCATGCAATAATAGATACCGTCTGGCTTGATTTCAATGTCCCCAATTTTCCCAAATGGCTGCAAACGTCTCTCTCTCTCTCTCTCTCTCTCTCTCTCTCTCTCTCTCTTTCTCCCTCCCTTTTTCTCTTTCTTTGTATCCCTCCCTTTCGTTTTTGCGAAAATTCCTTATTTCAATGTTGCTCACATGGCGGAGAAACGGTTAGGGATTGTATAGGCACATATGTCACCCTATAGAATGTTATACCATTCTAACAACGCAATCTGCTACATTAATTAATAATCAGTGTAAATGTTTCTTAAATATTTTGTACTTTTTACAGTTGTATTGGATTTAATTTTTATAAACAATATTTTTAAATATAGCATAATAATAATTCAAAGAATAAAAAATGGATCGTATAAAAGTATATAATTTTGTGCTAGATTATTATAAATTTTACTATGATTGCGAGAGAGAGAGAGAGAGAGAGAGAGATATCCTTATTTTAATTTAATACCTTCACCCTTGTAGCTTGATTGTTGAAAATGTGTCACGTAAAAGGAGCAATATGATATATTGAATATCATTTTTTATAATTCAGTTTGACGTTTCTTTAGTTACGGTCTTCTTTCTGAAAAAAAAAAACTCTCAATTTATTGCCGTCCATCGTCATAAAAATGCTTCAGTTTTGTTCTCGATTTCATCTTTACCTGCCTAGCAGAATAACTCTACAAAAGACTACAATATTGTTTCTATACAATAGTCACTTATTCGCACAGCTTATTTAAAAGCGTCCGGTGAAAGTTGAGTAACACAGGCGTGACGAATTTTTCGATGGATTGAGATAACATAGAAAACCTAACTAATTTAGTATTATTATGAAAAACAAAACTTGTAAAGAAAAATATTATTTTATTTTGCAATATTTTAAGATAAATATCATTTAGATCCTTTTATTTTTCAATAATTAAGCTTACCATGTTGGTATAAACGAACATTATTATACAATAAGATAAATTTAGGACGTAGTAATTTAAAAAAAAAATTAGTTGAAAGAGAGAACATCGATTAAACTCACAGAGCAATAAAATTATCAACGTGCGATGTTTTAATATTATAAAAAAAAATCTAAAGAGATTATTTTTATACCGTATATAGCTACATTATACGTCGACAATACGACGTAAGCCCGCGAAAATAAAGTCAGTAGCCAAAATCATTAACGAAATGCTCCCAACTCGGAAACCCTCGCCCTTCCCACAAGTATCACCCGTCAAGGATTATTATTTATTGCTATCATGCCAGGCGACTAACATAGAATGCATTTCACGTCCACACGCGTGAGAGTGCGGAAGCATTCTTCTAGCGTCGTTTAATTCACCGCGTACGCCTAAATTTGACTCTGTATATGTATATGTGACGTGTACGAATGTGTGCGTGCATGCAGACGTATGGATCCGCTCGGATCAGTCGTTTAGAATCCCCGCCCGTAGGATTGGTCACCATTTCGAACCGAACTATCAATCATTTTTTTCGGCCGTGTTTTACTATTTATAGTTTGTCCGCAAGGCCGTCTATTATCTTCCGTTAAGGATAATTGTTTTCTTTTAACCTTAGCCCTCTTTATCGTTGACGCCTTGTCCATCGTGCTTAATCAATACATCTCACTTAAACGTCCTAATGTTTCTGTTATTTCATATAATCGACATCATTCGAAACGGAATTCGCCGTGTAAATATGTTTACAAACATTAGCGTTAAGGAGAAAGATTATCCTGTGATTTCGTTTGATTAATACATAATAAGCAGATATTCATACTTATGGTAATTGTTTCTAATTCTGCTCTTACTGATTACGAATTAATAACAAATTTTGTAGAATCGAAAAAGAAGAAAATTAAAAGAAAAAAGAAGAAAAGTAAAGAAGATATAAATTTTACAATTTCTCATTTTCTCTTATATCTATTTTTATTTATTCTGATGAAAAAATAAAAATGAAATATTTTCCGAACAATTTTGTGACTAGGAAAAAAACAAAGCTATTATCATTAATGTTTAATCAATTAAAAAAAAAATTACTTCCGAGATTTCTCTTAGTTAAAAATGAAGATTTTTATATTATTGCTATTTCCATTATACTTTTCTTGTATTTCATATAATTTTCATTTTTTATTATTTTTGTAATTAATTTGTAACAATAACAATATTTAGTGCACGCTTAAATAGCATAATTGAAATTATTGTGAGATTGTTAACGTATTACTTTTGTAAATAAATGTTTCATATATTAAATGTAAACTATTTCCGTTCTAAATTGATGCCCGAGCAATAATTCTATAGCAAAGGTATACGTACATATGGTAGCACGTATTGTGTGAGGTCGGGTTGGAAAGAGAAGAAGGGGAACAAGCATAGGTTTTGGTGTCAGTAGTGTTAATAGTGGGAGGAGACTGCAATACGATCAAAAATCGAATGTATATTGGGGGTGGCCTTAGCAGTGAATGAAAGAGCAGCTGACAAAGACACAGCCCCCCTGCGATACCTCGATTCAGCAAAAGGGCGCCTATGGTGACTTTTGCGCCAAGGGTAGTAGTCCCCCTCTCCATTCTTTCAAAGACCTTTGGTCACGTAGTGAAAGCTTTGACGGAATATTCGATAGAACCGTAAAGTTTTCCCCTCCTCTTCCCTCCCTTCCCGTTGTACCAATATCATCCCTAGAACAACCGAAAACCGAGTCTGTGTAGGCTCACACCAGTGACTCTTAACTAGTCTTACCGCATGCTTCGATTTCACGAAACGGCCAAATGTGAATATACGTATACATTCTGTGAACTTTAAGTTGTGAACTAGTCTTGTATTCGGATTTAAGTGCAAAAGTTAGACATTTTAAATAAATTTATGGCCAGTTACTTGGCGTGCAATAATGTAATACAGTTGTGTATATAGTTATTAAAAGTAAGAAGATGTGATATAATCAAGAAACACGGTAGTGTCTCGTGTAAAGTACACGCGTTCACGATACAGACTGCGTCATCGACAGACAATATGTCGGTCTTATGAATCATATATAAATTTGTGATAAAATATGGATACCTGATTTGTGATGATATGACTATGAATTTAAATAACGGTCGGTATTATTGCCCGATAAATATACCATCACATCAGCCGTATTACCAACAAGCACTGATGCAAGGGAATGGACCTGAAAGACACGTGTTATCACACACCAGTTTGTTGAGAGATACGCTAGTACATGGCAAGAAAACAGTGACACAAAATTATGCATATTCCTACACAAACGTAGACGGTATGATTTCGTCATATCAAATCACGCCGAACAATCAAATGGTTCCATATAATTCGTGTCAAGTCTCTTCTGCCAAATATCCATCATCTGAAATATCGCCAACGGAATGTGAGGAATTTCTTAATAATATAGAAGGAAAATCTCAACAACAAGAGTACAATAAATGTGAGAAAAGTTATCCAGAACACAATTATGTACAATCACATAATTATACTTTATGTACTCCTGGACCATCCACTATTTCAATGCAATATGAACAAGATAAATCGAAGCAACAACTCATTAATGTACAGCAAGGATTGCAGATCGACAGCTATAACAGAAATAATAATAATAACAATATAAGGCAAAGAAACAAGAATATTAGGACATCCAATCATAACAGACAAAGAAGTCCTTATTCTAACGAAGTTGCAAATTATCCATGGATGTTTAGAAGAACGAATGGTAAGTTATTTACCATGTATTTAAATTCTCAACGTCCTTTACGATTCGATATTGTTTACTGTAATATATTATTATTAGTTTTTGAACATGGCCGGAGACACTACCGCGTTTCCTGATAACATTTATATCATATATGAATAGGTAATAAATCAGAAAACTGTTCAAATTTGAATAACCTTTTTCACATTTTTATTTTTTATAAATAATTATGAACATTATTTTACAAACACAGTTTTTCCTTATTTACTACATTTTTAACAAATAATTAAATCTCACTTGTAATTTTTAATATATATGAAATTAAAAAAATCGAGGCATGTCTACGATGACCGGGATAAGAAAATAATAAGAAATTGTCGATTACAAGTCGATTGTTTTTATACAGAGTCACATGTCGGTACAACAAATAATTAAAATTTAAAAAAATTAGTTACAGTTGAATAAATAAAAAGTCCATAGATATCTCTCTATTAATTTTTAGTTGTATGCTAAATTTATTAATACAAAAATTATTGATTTCAGCCCATCAAGAAAATGGAACTGAGCAGAAACGCACGAGGCAAACCTATTCGCGCAGTCAAATCTTCGAACTGGAGAAAGAGTATCGTTTACATAAATACCTTGCAAAAAAGCAACGTCTAATATTAGCTAAATATATTTGTTTGACTGAGCGTCAAGTTAAAATTTGGTTTCAAAATCGTCGAATGAAAGAAAAAAAGTCACCAAACACATCCGTGAATATAGCCGTATCAACATCATCGGAATCAACAGTATCATCAGAATCTAGTACGCAGATGATAATTCACGAAAATCAAGGATTAAATCCAACGCAACAGACACAATTACAATCCTCACAACCATTTTACAATGAAGGACATCAAAATTATTTTCATAATCAAAATATATTTTCGACAAATCATTATTTAAATAATGCACATTATTGAAATAATTCTGAAGGTAATAGTATAAAAATCGCGGATATGACATAATAATTAATAAGACACTTTTTTTTGAAATAATTCTGTGAATACTTTCAATTATTTTCGAATAACAGGAAAATTTAGTAAAAATTAATTAAATTAATAAAAAAATCAATTAAATTGAGTAATATACATAAAAATTAGTAAAAATTAATAAATTCTTATTAATTTATATTCAATATTATTTAATATTGAAACATTAATACTTGGATTTTTGTCATAAATAAATGTAGATTAAAATATTTTTGGATGACGTAATTATTTTGCATTAAATTACAATAAACTTTAGTATCACGTTTTATTGTAATTATTTGCACTTACTGTACATATACGATTCAAAAAGTATCTGCGATGAAAATCAATATATAACAGTTTTGTATAATATATACTCACAATCAGACCTACATTGGCGTTTTAAAATTAATCGAAATAGTTTTAAGAAACGAACTTATGCCAAACTGAGGACAAAGTTGGTCCTTCACGCTGGTTCGTAAAGAGAGAATGCCGCCACGGTCGAGATCGGGGCAGCTGACCTTGCAACCACTATGATTTATGGCCGAGCTAAACAACGAACATCCTATAGCTCAGGTACACGAAAGCTCGGTTCTTCACATCGCATTTTCTCCTGAGCATTCTTTTCCTAACTTTGCATTTCGTCAGTAGATTTTGCTCATGAGTATTGCATACGTCATCCAAAAATATTTTGACATTCAGATCAAAATTCATATATACTTTGATTAATGATAGTATTTAGATCGCTGTTAACCAGAATATCGATTATATTTTCCAAATGTTTCTTTTTTTTTTATTTGTCGATTACTGTATTAAATTCCATAAAAATGCACATAAATTAAAATAAATTTATAATAATTATAATCCATTTGTATCATCTTATATTAAATGAAATCTTTCTTTATATAAGATTGTGTATATTTCAATAATAAGAGAAAACGAAGAAATGTTCAACGCAATAAGCGGAGAAAGACAATTTTACAATATTTATTGACAAATATTGTAAAATTCATACAAAAATATTATCAAGATATTTATTTTAATCAAATATGATCTTCGCTTATTATGTTGCACATATTTCAATTATGCCCAATGTAATTACATAATTTCAAATGCAATGATTTATTTTATAGTATACAGATTTTATCTGAAATGTAATTAATATTACATATTATATTTTTATATCATATATATGTAAGTGTATAAATATATGTGTGTATACTACATATATATGAATTTACTGTCGAATATTTTAAATATAATACAAAAATATATTTAAAGTATTTTTTTACACACACGTACACACACACACATACATATACTGTATATATATATATATAAAAGAAATACTTTAATCATTATTATATAATATTTAACGAACATTCTTCATCCACAGTAATAACATTCCATTTAAAAAAAAATGTTGAATTGAAAAATTGCATTTGTATAAACATAAATACATTTTATTATTATTAGCATTTATACATACTTGCATATCAAAAGCAATGCTAGCATAAAAATCATTTGGTAAGCTTAGAACGTTAAAATTTAGGGGATGACTAGATAGAGTGGGGAGGAGATAGGTATGTGTGCAGCTGCGCTGTTCACATGAAACAAGATGGTTGAAAGCATAAGCGTACGTGAACGAGTGTGCTCCTTTTAGTTTTATTTTTTTAATGTTTTAAGTGTTTTTTCGTGCAAGAATTTTTTCTTTTCAATTTCAACAAACAGTGTTTCCGACAAATGGATACAAGCATTTCAAGTAAACAATATTGACGAAACATTTCTATTAGTTTCATTGATTATAAGTTGATACAGTCTAATAGATTTTATTTATTTTTGTCTAATTATGAAAAAGCATTCTTTAAATGTGACTTTCGTATCCATGTTTACGTCATAAAAATATTAATAAATTAACTCGATATAAATAAATTTATAAATAAGAATAAACTTATAAATTAATTTCGGTAATCCTGTCAAAACGTGAGAAATAACAATATATTTTAAAATAAAATTTAATAATATTTATTGTAGTTGTGCATTAGTTAATTGTACAACTGCAAGTCCCTTAAACAACGTAAAAAGTTCTCTAAAATACTTGATTCATTGTGCAACAATTGCAAATCATTGGAAATAAGTTAATACTATTGGAAAAAAGTATAGAGTTTGTAAGCTAGAATGTGAAATGCTATTTAATATAAACAAATGTAAAATACAAAAATTACAAACGTTTCTACCTTCATTGGGTCATCTTGAGTGTAAATAATATTTAAACATATAAAATACGGTTACATATAAGAACTAGATTCTTTTGTACATAAAGTTAAAAATAAAAAGTCATAAAATATTAATTAGAATTCACATTTTTAACGCACATAATTTATCAAAAAAGGTTTCTCTTGTTATCATGTGATTTTTAAATCTATGTCATCTAGTACTATCTTTTCATATCCATTTTCAAAAGTGTGTGTGCTAATTAAAAAATAAGATTTATAAAATAACAAGAGATACCTCGTCAATGTGTTCATGGTATGGAATTGAAATTAAAACAAAATTGTAATTGATAATTAAAATTGTAATCATAACTTATTTTTTTACATTTTACGAATTAAATAGGTATTTAAACTGCTTTGATTAATTGTAAATTAAATTTTAAATCACAACGAAAGTAACTATTTATTTATATGAAATTAGAATGTCATAAAATTCTTATTCTATCTTTCTAATATTCTTTCAAGTTGTCAAGTTCTTTCAACTTATGCCGAATAAATTAATTTTTTAATTTTGTGAATATAAAACGTAAATTATAGTCACATAAAATTCTTAAGAATAAACAGTTAAATTCACATAACAAAGCATTTAGAATCTTTAAAAGAATATAATAAATGTGTTGTAGCTTAATTTATATACGTATATGTTTACACTCTAGATGTACCTTTTATAAATGCTTTTCACTTTTTTTGTTTCATAATTTAAAGATGCGTATAAAAGAACTGACATAATTAATTTTATATTCGTAATACATTTTATATATTTGTATTAATGTATCTTTTTGATATTAAAATTTTTTTATAAATTTAATTTTTTATTCTTAGGTAATAATTTTATGTAATTATAATTTACGTTTCATATCCATATCAAGTTAAAATAAATTTATTTATTTATTATTGTATATTTTTAGGACATAATATAAATGCAAAGTTATGAAGAATTTTACTTCTTTTTTATTGTGGACTATTATTTTTACTGAGTCAAAAAGATTAATATATTATATATATTTTTTGAACACTTAAAAGAATGCTGAAGAAAGTTTATTGACATTCAAATATTGTTTAAAAAACAAAATTAAATAATTATTTTTTCGTGTATTTGAAGTCCAATTTATAATTATTCAAAAAATTCAAATTTTTTATAATTGTGATTGATACAATATTATATCGATGCTCATAAATAAAGTATTTTTTTTATTATCATTTGTTCTGTAAAATTACATAGAGTTGTATATATAATATTGTGTCTGCAGTGTTAATAATATTGTAATTAATAAGTATTGTATGTACGTATATACCATATGTTACATGATACATTATTAAGACAAAATAAAAAATGTATGTTATTTATTGATTAAAGAGTATGTATACTTTATAAAGCTTAAAAAAACGTGTAAAGATTGTATTTTTTAAATAATAATTAAGTATATAGTAATAAAAAATATAATATAACTTTCTGTTAATATATGCAATCTTTGTTAGCATATATGTGTGTATAGTTGTTTATACTTATTTTTTATAATAAATATAATAAATATGTATACATAGAAGAAATCAATAAATATATAAATGTGCAAGTTACTTTTTTTTATGTTATTTTTTCTTAAAAATTTAAATATTATTTAGATATTGCATTAGAGTGCATTTTCAGGCAAACAAAATCTATAAAAGAGGAGATAGGTTGTTCGCGAAATGGTCGAAGATTTAGGCGAAAACGGAAAAAGAGGGGAAAGAGGATGGAAACAGGGGGCTGAGAAAGGTTTGTATGGCAATGTGTAGGTAAACCTACATTGCAGAACGCACCCCCAGGAGGGACGGCGGCAACGAGAGTAAACCCTGAGTTTGCAGGGGTTGGACAGAGAGAACGAGGGTCGATATTGTGCTTGACAGATAGTTTCCCATAGCTCCAACAATCCATCATGGCCGGCACGCGGATACGTATTGGTTTTTGTGCAACGCGTCTTAGCTATGAACCTCGAATTGAATATATTTTTTTCTCTGCCAATCCTCTTGCGTAAAATTTGTTTTTGCGTATTATGCGGAATTGTGACATAAAATGAATATATATGTATAAAAGTAAATTTTATTATTAATTTACACGTACATGTATATACTACTGATTTTAGCTTATAAAAAATATAAATCCATTTTTTAAATTCTTTGGAAATGTTGTAAAATACTTTGCATTCTTTTTTTTTAATGTTAATCGCACGATCTTACAGTCTGTTATAATACTATATTAATCAGGTGAATATCGCTTTTCTTATCTCATATCATATATGAAGATGTATAATTTACTTTTCTACATATTAAAGTACAGCAAATTATGAATTCATAGCGTGTATTGACTGAAATCTACTTGTAAAAACCGGTTAAGATACCTCGCAAAATCCAATCTTAACTTGATAGTTACAATTAATTTGATCCGCCGAATTCGTAATTGCCGAACGGATAATGGCACTGATTATAGGGCTCTCCGACGGAAAGGTCTTCCTCATACTAAAGCTTCAATAAACCCATGAGTCGTGTTGATATAAAGTAACGCAGTGATCATATCTCTCAACTAGAATCGCCATTAGAGAATTCTTATTATTCGACTTATTATTTATTTATGACGTCATACCATCGATTCGCAATTGCCCGAAGGTTGAACATTTATAGATGGCTGAAATCATTCTTCATGCAAACGATTGAAACCTAATTTCAATAATAATAATTGCTTTGGCGGAGTCATCGAACTGTCGACACTGGATGGATGATAGTGCGAGGTAGATTGTAGTAGTGCAGAAAGAGAGGTAAAGAGAACAGACGAACGGGTGCATAAACCATCTCGCGAATTACGGAGAGAAAGCATAACAGATACACGTGTCTTGGCGGCTCCGCTTTGCGACACATGATTCATGGGGGTCTTGATACGTTTTTTACACCTGCGACAGCTTTATTGGAAATTCTAATGGAGAAGGTCCACCATGAAGAGTGACACGAGACCTCAAGGCAATGCACCTCGAATCGACTGAAGTAGGCCGACCAGGCCTTATTTCTTGTCATAGAATCTCGTCATCATCAGGCATCAATTACGTTAAATCGAAACACATTGACCCGCTGACACGCGCGCGCGCGCTCGCAGTATATGGAGTAAAATAATTTTAAAAATTTAATAGAAAAAACCCAAATATGAAAGTTATATTATATAATTTTATGTTATTTTTACAACTTGTATTTATTTATTTTTCTATACTTTCATAATGTGATTTGTAAAATAATCGTAAATCTATAATAAAAGAATATGCGAAATGTTTAAAATTAAAAAATATTAAGTAGATAATCTACACGATAACGATGTTCATATATATCTTTCTATAATATATTTCACAGTGCATACTATATTCTATTGTACGTACAATAATTCTTATTTCTCATTCTTTCTCTCTATAAATTTGATTAAAAAAATACATTTGTATGTATTTGTTATTAAAATATAAAAGCTGATATGCTTCGTAGATAAATATCAAGAGTGGCAGTAATAATCACAAGAGATAGTAGAGCATCACTCATTAAGTGATAAAATAGAATTTCACTGCTTTTATCAGTCGAGTCTTTGGATCACGATTTTTCATCAGCTACGTGAAAGAAGAGGGCTAAAGCGATAGTGTAGGACAAACAGCCGAAGTGGCGAATGCTATGGAAATAGTGGGGATACGGCAGTATACGTACACAGATGCGACGACTCAAAGTAGAAGAGATACCCAGTTTCGACTGAGCAGTGGGGTAAACGATTAAGTAGTGGGGAGAAGAAGTGGAAAGGGTAGGACGGCCGGGGGCGGGCGCGCGCCACAATTCAACGAGAACAGCCGCACTCACCACATCTGGCGAGCAACTGCCACACTATCGGCCTATATATTCAAAATTATTCTTCCTTCTAAATTATTAGTGTGCCGCGAATTAAATAGGAAATTCAATCTACGTGATAGAAACATAACGTAAATAAAAAAGACATTATAGAGAAAATTATGGACAGATCTAAATTTAAATTTCAATTTTATTGCAACAGTTAAAAAATATTTTTGTTTTAATAAAACACCTTAATGTTATTTTTTAATAACAATAAAATTTCAGTAATAGATATAGGAAAAGTGTTTAAGAATTTAAAAAAATAAAATTTTAGAAATATAAACTAATCACGCACGAAGAAGAGAGCACTGCGAATACACTGTAAAAATGTTAAAGAAATTTTGCATAAAATGTAAAAAAAAACTCGTTTAAAGTCTTATCTGTGATGAGCAAAGAGAGCTCCGCCTCCTCAACCGTCCCCTCCGCCCCGTGTTACCCCGAAGTGCCCCCCGTTTGACCAACTGGCTACTACGTCACACATGCTTCTGCTTAGAGCCGCCAACTCCGAAGGCTCTCCTCTCAGGCCGGCTCAGTGAGTTACGAGTTGCGTCCGGGTTCGCCGTACGAGCGATAACGGGGGCGTCAATCGAATCGCGATTGGGAGAGGATTCTACCTCGTGCACGTTCTTCCCTCCTTGTCTTTCTCGGCTACAGGCAACAGGTTTGAATTTATGGGACAATAAAGAGTGTGGTGCGTAGTGCGCGTCTCTCTCTCTCTCTCTCTCTCTCTCTCCTTTCCTCTTTTCCTTTCCTTTACGCATTTCTTTCCCTCCAGGCCGCCCTTTCTCTCCTGTCCTTTCGTTGTGAAAAGAGGAGTGAGCGCGGCGAGAAGACTATCAAACTCTCATAAAACTGTCAACCGCGGCCACCGGGCTGACTTATGTGCGCCCCTTCCTTAGCCGCGGTTGGAGAATCACACATTTTCAGGTTGAATCTGCGCGTCTCGCGCGACGAACGCGATCCCATCGCAAACTTGTTAACGAAAGGTCAGACATCCGGGCGAAAAGAGCGGTCGCGGAAGCGAGTTCGATCGGTGCTCCGATTCACCGCGGTCCCGCCGCGTTGCAATATGCAAGTACAGCAATTTGCACTTGTAAAACGTATAACTTTTCTTTCATCTCCTGATCAAGAAGAGATACGATGCGTATGATCGAGCTAAAATGGATTCGCGACGGATGAAATCGACGAAGATACGGTGATATTAATGGACGAATCGTTTTCGGTCGATCAGTAAGGAACAATCGCGCCTTCGGTGCCGCGCGCGTACCACCCCTTTTCTTTTTCGTCTGTCTTCACCGCGAGACTATACAGTAGGGGGCGCGTGCGCGCGTAGCCCCCCTCGCAAAGCGGACGGAAGACTGCTGCTTCTTGGTGACGTCGTCGCGGCTAGAAGGCTGCAGAGGAGAACGAGAGAGCGATCGAGATACTTCTCCCCCACCAGCGGTTTCAGGGCTCCCGAATATCTCTCCATTAGCCCCCCTGACGGTGCTATCCCCTCTCCTTGACCCCTCTCTCTCTCTCTCTTGCCCTCTTTCTCTCTCTTACGCACACCCCTCTCATCGGTTCCTGTCACGTCGGGTAGCAGCCGGGCAACACTACCACACGACGAGTGCCAGCGGCAGCGGAGACTCGACGGAGACGCAAGGAACGGGGTTGAAGAATCGTACGCCGACGGAGAGACCAATCAAGGTTTGACGAACGGCAGGGATTGGTCGAGAGGCGCTCCTCTGACACGCAGAGAGCGCGGGCACGTGACAAGCTACCGCACACACCGGCCTTCCGTTGGATCGTGCGGCGAAGCCTTCAGTACGATACCAACCACCCTTCGCGCACGCAACAAGAACGGCGGTGAACTCGCGTGGGTACACACACTCTTCACCCTTTACCGTGGTCGCGCGAGCCTCTGCCGTTACCGCGCGATATAAAGCCGTCTGTTATAAGTGCAACACCTGTGACAACATTGAGAAGCGCAATTAATCACCGCGTGAATAATTTTAATGCGCGCACATATGTGTTGTTACTCCGCATGTTATTTCATTGAGGAGATATTTTACAAGGTCATCTTCAATGGGGCGCCTCGATAAGCTGTTTGTTACGCGCTACTGCACGATGGGCCCACGAGTCCTCTGTAGGTAATCGCGACTCCTGAGGTCATAAAGAAGCAGAAGACAGTTTTATAGCCCAGGCCCACGTGGCCCTCATAAACTTGACTCGCAGGTCGGTTCGAATTCAGGCTCGACCCGCCTGCCGCCAGACGTCTGCCTCTCTTTCTCTCTCTCTCTCTCTCTCTCTCTCTCTCTCTCTTTCTTTCTCTTTCTCTTTCTCTATTAGTCCTGAACCCCTCAACCGTTCATTATCGAATCGCTTAGGGACGACGTGTTTCTGTCGCGTGTAACAGGTCGTGATAGCTGTGAATCGTTCGACGAACAAGGTGAAACTTGTAGCCGGTCACGTGTGTCGCGCGATTTTTGTCATCGCCGCAACGATGACAAGATCCTATACTTAATGACGGCGCGCATTGTTCAACCGCCTCAACCGATCGAACACAACGTCAGTGTTTTCGTGAATGACGGAACATAAACGTGCACGATATTGATATAGTGACGTTGACGCGGCAGGTGAAGGTACGTGAAGAATGAGTTCCTATCAGTTCGTCAACTCGCTCGCATCATGCTACGCGGGTCAACAGCCACAGCAACAGCCAAGACCGACCGCGAATTCACCTGGAGAACCGATGCAGGCAGCATCGCCGGCCGGTGGCGAGTACTACAATCCAAATGCAGCCTCTACCAGCTATCCTGCACCTTGTTACTCGCCTCAACAGCATTATCCTCAGCATCCTTATGCCACGCCGGCGTCGGGTATGCAGCATACGGCACCAACTGGAATGATAGACTATACTCAGCTGCAGCCGCAGCCTCGACTAAACGCGACCACGACGTCACAACAACACGGTATGCACGCTCAACAGTCGCAACATCATCAACCGCATCATCCTCAGCAACAACTTCACGCGGATCCAACGACACCTCTTCTGCAGGGTGCTTCAGCACCCTCGGCACCGTCAACGTCCAGCTGCAAGTATGCTGATTCGACATCGTCCACCAGTGTGGCGTCTCCGCAAGATTTAACCACGTCCACTTCGAGAAATAGCCCAACGCCCTTAGTAGCACCTGGTACGAGTAAAGCCGCATCAGGATTGACTTCACCACCTGGTAGCTCGTCAAGGTCGTCCGTGGCTGCGTCCGCTGCTTCACCACCCAGCGGTAGCTCGAGGGGCGTCGCCGAGGGAAATTCAACGCTGACAACAGCATCTTCCGCTTCGTCGCCCGCTTCCTCTACATCCAGTACCTCTAGCACGGGTAACAATTCGTCCAACAAGGGGAACTCTTCTGGCACTAACCCGCCTCAAATATATCCATGGATGAAAAGGGTTCACATTGGTCAGAGTAAGTCATTCATCTATCGTATCTTTTAAATCTTATTATCGCAGAAAACGATGTAGTTTTTAAGATACATTTTCCATTTCTTCGTTTCTGTTTTTGAATGAAACTTGCTCTTTATTTGATTAAATCGGTAAAAGAGGAAATTAATTAATTCGTTACATTGTTGGGATTACAACTGTTTAGGATTAAAACTTTTAAAGTATTTTATTTTATAACATTTTAATAAAGATTATTTATATTAACATATTAATGCAAACATTAAATCGTATATCACATTAACATTTTTATATATGATGTACAATGTGATGTTTTGATCAATGTATTAATATACATGAAAGTATATATTTGTTCTTTTTAACTTTCGAAATGTCATCCATCTATTAAAAGCGTAGAGGTACTAAATTACAGCTAAAATATACAACCTCACGTATTATAAATTTATTTAATTTTGATGATAACAATCTCTACTTAAACCGTTATTCGCGTTTTAAACACGTTTTGCATTCGGTAAACACAGAAATCTATCAATTTTGACATCTGGAATATATCATTTAATTTAAAACGAAAATATTTCTAGACAGTTTCTTAATTTTTATATTTTAAGTACAACACAATATTAATTTGCGTAACAAGGCCCTTTATAACGTAAATTTTTTTTATAAAAATAAAAAATTAGGATAGGCATTGGATTACCAATAATGTTAAGCAGATTTTTCAAATAGTTGATATTCAGTATTTCTAAAATTAAGTAGATATATTGCATAAGAGTAGCAAAACAATAATTAATAAATTATAATATCTGATGTCGAAATGCGCTCAATATACATATTAATTAATTAAAAATGTTATATATTATATAATATATATGTATAAGAACTTATATTTTATTGTGAGATAATTACAAAACAAATACCTTCAGAGCAATGTACGAATTTTATCCACGCACGAATACTGCAAGAAATATTTAACAAATTATTAAATTACAGAATAGCAACATAATTATTAATAATAATTGGAAACTATTTTGACATCTCTTAAATTTTTCATGTATTTCAAAAGTGATATTATTGTTGCGAAATAATGAATAAATTAAATTTAACATTGCCGTATTGAAGAATTTTCAACACTTTCTAAAGTAACTTTCTGATTCTAATTCATGTAAGAAAATATTTTTTATAATACCTTGTCGAGTATAATTGTGTTAAACGAATATACAAATAGGTAATTGAATGAAATAAATTAGCAATTATCAAAATATTGCTACACCTATCACGTTCAAGACAAGCAAAGCGTAAGGCAAAGAAACTAAGATGATTAATAACATATTAAGCAGCCGAGTAACAATTATACATAGATATACTTCGGAATAAATGTCCGATAAGTGCAACAAAACCGTCGCGCCGGACGTGTCGCTCGTGCTCTCTCTCTCTCTCTCTCTCTCTCTCTCTCTCTCTCTCTCT